TTCGAAATAGGTAAGCAAGTATGCGTACTAATGTAATAGCACATTATGTTGTTGTTTTAATTATTTGCCATAGGTAACTTTAATTAATTTGACTCATTAAAAATCTGTGTTTAATATTGATATCAATTTCTTAATATCATAATCAATGACTTTTTGGTTTTTATACTGTTACATAATATATATATATATATATATATATATATATATATATATAGAGCCTGTCCATTTTTTACATATCATCATGAGTAACATTATAATCAAGATTTTCCAAAAGTATAAATTAAATAAATAATGCATAAAAACCTTAAACTTGCATTTTACTTTGCTTATATACATTGTATCATTAGATTTTACTAAATTAATGAAAATAGTATCGGAATTATATACTTTTAGAGATAATTTTTAGTAATTAAATCTTCTATACATTATATTAATAAAATTTGCATATAAAATATGTATTTTTAGTTTAAATTTGAAATGTTGCAATGTGCAGAGTAGCATTTTTTTAAATGTGACTTCCTGGACATATACTTGGTTGATAAAGTAAAGAGTATCGCATTACCGGCAATTGATTATTTACACAATTGAGCCATAAGTTTGCGCATGTTACATGATAATTATTATCGTTATAAACAACTCGACCACTCGTAATAACTGTTAAACACAGAGAACAAGATACATATTCTCCCTGATGTAATGGCCAAGCTGGTAGCTCAGTGACAATCTAAAATAAATCAATATAATTGTATTACATAATAATGGAAAATGAATATATATGGTGTTAAAGAACAAAAAATTGCTAGAAAATACATTTAAAACACAGATGTAAAACATAGAATACATGTAAAAATATCAATTTATAGACGATACATACTGGTATGTTTGTGTAAAAAGGTTCCATTTCAGCCCAAATTCTGTCAATGTCCATTAAAAGGTCATCAAATCCAATAATGTTTATGTCTAACTCTTTATATGAAAAATTGACACGTCTACAAACAGCTGCAACTTCAGCTAATTCTAGCGAAAAGAATTATTTTTATATACTTTTACATAATTTCTCATACAGTTTTTACATAAGTTTTTTTCTATGCTTACGGCAAAGAAAGTTGTATCCTTGAGCTGAATTTAAAACTTCCTGTAAAACCATCTCTGATGTAATATTGGTAAATATATTGGCTGCGACTTGTAATAGTAAAACACAACTTTCCATATATTGCTTCCATTCCCAATACGTAATCTGTAATACAGAAGTATTTGAGAATGACACATATCTTTATAGATTTTAACACATTTTGATATTTTAATTACATGTATACCTGTTGTGAAGTTTCTACAACTTGATCTTCCTCTATATTTGAAGGTAAAAATGATTTAAGATCTAAACTAGGCACAGATCCAGACCGTGGCAGTGCTTCTGATGGACCACTAATCAACTCTACACTATTTATCGAAATAGCATCCTCTTTCTGAACATTTTTCCCTAAGAATTATATACTACTTGATTTTAATGAAATAAGAAGTAAGCAAAAATAAAATTGCAGCATGTGTGGAATCACTAACCTGATTCTACTAATTGCACTTCATTCCCATCGTCAAGTTTTAGATTACTGAATGACTCAGACACATCGGATACAAAATTCAGATCTGTTAAGTTACTGTTATCAGTATTAATGTGCGCTTTAAACTCAACAAAATCTGCAAATACATTACTAATATTTTCAGCATCCAAAGCGTCTGATGTTAGAGAATTAATAGGTGGTTGTTCCGCAGACATAAATTCTCCGAATTCGTCAGCTGATTGATTATTGGAAGTTAAATCTAAATTTTTATTCGTAATAGATGTTTCCTGGACTAATGCACGTAATGCACTGTATTTATCTTCGACTTGTTGCAAACTCATTAAATCTTGTTGAACAGAATCAGACCTATCTACCGTGACAGCCTACAGATTTAAATTTACATGTCAACAAAAGCTACATTAATTTTAAGCTTATGCAAACATAAAGACATACTTGCTATAATATTGACAAATTTATTGTTATTTACCTTTGGCATTACGTCCACTTTGTGTAATACTTCTTTATCATATCTAGGAGATATAGCCTCTGCTACACTTGCCAGATTAAAAGTATCGCTACAATCTTTAGGTGTATCATTATTTCTAATCACAGTATCTTTGAGTATTACCGTTTTTGATTGATTCTTTACTCCACATTTAGGAAATAGATCAGATTCTATTGTGGATTCTATCATGGGTTGATCCTTACTTTGATACAGCAAATTTGCAGACATAGATGTGCAAATTTGCACATTAATGGGTAGTGTTTTCGTTCCAGCAGTGGCTTTTTTTATTTTATCAACTGTTTTTTTCACTCCCAGATTGTGATTAGCAAGTCTGCTGCCAATTGCAGAACCTTGCTTGCTATCCCAAATTGATATAGCAGAGGCGCTAGGAATCGGTGCGCTTTGAAATTCTGTAAATTCATCAGAGGATTCGTCAAAAGATGATGCAGATGGAATATTGGCTTGAATACGTGAAATTTGTTTCACGTCTTTAAACAAATTATTGAAATTGTTTCCAGCTGGTCCAAGCGCCTGAATCTTGACGTCAGAAGATTTTCCAAATGCGTTGTTTGAAAATGATATATTCGCATCAGACACTACATTCGCATGAGCTCTATTTTTAATTTTCCCTTTGATATCAGGAATGTATTTTCCTTCCACACCCGCATTACTGATATTGGATTCTTCATTACTGTAATATTGAAGTTTCAATACATTTGCTTGTGCACCAGGTTGCAAATTCATCAGACATTCTATGTTCAAATATGGCGTTGGCGGAAAAGGAAGTAAATGCAATATATCGAGACTGTTGAAGGTATAAGACGTCTGAGCAGCAGCCACAAGAGCTAGCACGATATATAACTCTTGTTCGGTCAGTTGTCCAGCGTACTTCTGATTGGCTAAGTTCCATATGTGACCGAGGACCTCCGTAGGTAGTTGACTGGTAAGTAGCAAAGGAAACACCTTGTTGGTGTCAACAAGTAATTCAGTCTGCATGCTACTTGATCGAACTCGATCCTCTCGTACTGCCTCCCATACCATCTTGTAAACCGGTGGCAAGGTGGTGGAATTGGTCCATAACCAACTCGGCAGTTGGTTCAATTTCTTGTTCGCGTGAGTTTTATTCATGTTTTGTGCAGTAAGGAACAACCCGGCGAATTTTACCGCTGCAAACGGCACAAATTACATGAACTCGTCATGAAGCGATGTGGATTCATTCTTCAAAACTACAAGTTTAATACATTATCATTATATAAAAAAAAAAAGTCGAACGTTTGTTCGATCTTGTAGATCTCACGTTGTGAACATTGTTTTCCTTGACACATTGATATTCATTACGACACGCAGCGCAAAACGTACACAATTAGTCTTTACGTCAAATGTCAGCTGACCTAAAGTGACGTATGTACGCCATATTGTCAATATTGTTGAGAGAGGGGGGCTGCAATGAACAATCGTGTTTTATTTAATAATTAGTTAATTAGTATCATGTTCTTTTCATTCGTTCATATTTATTTATCTGAAAAGCTGTTTGCATTACGCCTATTCAATTTTTTTGTTTGTTTAAAATAAAAATAAAGTACACAAATTGAATCTTGCAATAATCTGCTGCGAAAAATTCTAATTTGGCGTCTAAATCTAATTTAATATTGAGTCATAATACTGAAAAGAAAATACATCTAATTTATTATTGACTTAGTTTACACCGATTGTTTAGTACGCGTACCAAGTTTTAAATCTGCTTCTTTGATTGGTGTAGATTTTACACTAAACAATTTATACCTATCGAAGAAGCAAATTTAGTACTTGGTACGCGTACCAAACAATCGATGTAAACTAAGTCATTGGCCGCGTTCAGCAGACTCAACAGTTGTAGATTTTCCGCTGAATCTCGACTGTTAATTAGTTGGTTCTGAAAGTAAGAACCAATCACGTTCGATTGCTACTAAGCGGTTTGTTCTGCTGAACGCGCCCATTGATTTGTACATTTGCTCGTTTTATCTGGTTGCTGTGCTGAAAGCAAATAAATAGTATAAATCAATGACAAAGCAAAAGTATTCTTTTTTCAATATCAAGCCGACATTTTTGTATTCAAAATAAAATATAACTTATCAATAATTTAAATTTAATACAAAATAGAATAAATAAGAGTAGAAAAAATTCTTTTGCGCCTGAAATTTTGTAGGACGCGATCAAGCGTCTTCTAACCGCTGAAAGACGCGTTGCACGCCATATTTATTCCAACGACTTAACTAGTCGCGCGTTGAAAACGCGCAATACGAATGATTCAATATAAATCAGCCTAATGTTTGATCATGGCGGGCACTGTTTATGCCGTCGATAATTAGAAGTGATTGAAAGTGATAAGAAATCATTGAAGAAGCACGGAGAAACATTTTTAGCGTTTTGCAACGCTTTTGAGCGATACCTGTAAAGAGGCAAAATGTCGACGGACTTTTACATACGCTATTACGTCGGCCACAAGGGAAAATTTGGCCATGAATTTCTCGAGTTCGAATTCCGACCGGACGGTAAACTTCGCTACGCGAACAATTCCAACTACAAGAATGACACGATGATCCGCAAAGAGGCGTACGTACATCAATGCGTAATGGAGGAGTTGAAGCGCATTATCCAAGACTCCGAGATCATGCAGGAGGACGACTCGCTATGGCCGCAACCCGACCGCGTCGGCCGGCAGGAGCTGGAGATCGTAATCGGCGATGAGCATATTTCGTTCACCACTTCGAAGACCGGCTCTCTCTTGGACGTTAACCAGTCGCGAGACCCGGAGGGATTGCGATGTTTCTATTATCTGGTGCAAGATCTCAAATGCTTGGTGTTTTCTCTAATAGGACTGCACTTCAAGATCAAGCCTATATAAATCCGAGTTTTGTCATTCGTTCATTGAAATTATTGTAATAATTCTCTCCTATTGTAATAAAGTATGAAGTATTGGTATTTATGCCTTTGTTTCTTTTTTCTCACATTCAGCACATTGATGAGTAACAATGTGCTGACAATGCTGAATGTGACTAACTATCTAACCTTATCTGAGAAAGCGCGGATAGCAGTTGCAAACAGACGTAACATTCTTCGAAATTTTCACATTATAAGATATTTGTATTGAGACATATATAAAGGTAATTAATTAAAATGCGATTGTAACAGAAGAATAATATGTGAATATTGTTAGAGTACATGATAATAATGCAACGTATGTCATTATTTGGATAAAATTTTTATACATTTTCTAACCTCTATGTGACGATTCATGTCATTTGCTGGAATAAATTTCTTGAGTGCAATAGACGTTAAGCGTTGGGAATAAAAGTTTTATAGGCACATTTTATGTATACAGTAATTGAACAATGTTAATTGCAGATGCAAGATGTCTGCCAAACAGGTTATGGCAAACGACAAAAACACTGCGGGTCATCATCAGGAGTGCGAAGATCGTGTCGTCACAGACTCCGTTCACGAGAGATTTCGGCAGCTACACGTTCATTGTGACGATTGCAATAACGACATAATAGGAAGCGAAGCTGCCATAAAGAAGCACTTCAATAATTTACACCCCTCAAACAGACACTGTCGCTACTGTAAAGGCAAAGTGTTTGTATATCGAAAAATAACGATGATAGACAATAGTGAGAAATCACAAAATTATATATATCATAAATGCGAGTATAAGGAACAATCAGAAAAGAATACGTCAAGTGAATCTATGTAAATATTAAGGTCTTTATAACTTCCAAGTGTAAAGTTACGCACTTAAACTTGGATATATAATTGTCTCTCTATTAAATTTTGAACAATGAATCAAACATTAATATGTTGGCGCCAAGTTATATGAGTCAGCATACAATTTTCATACAGTACTGTAGAATTAAACAATTCAGCATTTATTTTTACAGTTAATCTTCTAGTGTATTATACAACAATCAGTACATTTTACTGAAGAGCCAACATGTCAATCATCATCATTTTATAATGTAATTATTGAAATATCAATATTTGTTACATATTTTCATTAGTATATTAGACACATGGGATTTAAGACATTCTGCATAAACTAATATCTCTATTTTTTGATATAATATATTAGCTATTTTTTAATTTTATATATTTTTATTTATGTCACAATTGTAACTTTTTTTCGTAAAAATGTAAATTTTAGAAGCTTAGAAAATAAAGAAATGGATAAAAAAACCAGAAAAGAGAAAATTATATTTTTTGCCTGTCCACTGAAATTTTATATAGATTTTATATGGGTAAAGAACAATCATTCTTTATTTACCATAGAATGAAAACTTATATTATAAACTTTGAGCTTACAAATACATAAAAGTTAATTTCAAGTACAAAGGTACATGAATTTGTACATAGTTTTTATTTTTTTTATAATTAACATTCATTGTAAAACATTTTCATTATAGTTTAATATATTTATATATGTTGATTAATAGAAATAAATAATTTTAACAAAATTTAGTATATTATTTACTTAATCTTCCCTGTATGAAATATGTTTATCAGATCAAATAGACGATTTGCTTAAATTATAATTTTGACTGCGTGATTTCTTTTTTCTTGATATCTATATATGTGCATAAAATTTGTGAACGCAGTTATTAAATTGTAAAAAAAATGACAAAGTTTTATGTTTTATTTGTAGCATAAATAGAAGAGTATTTATGCTGTTGAAAGACATTAGACACCGACAATGATTTATAAGTTTATCATCAAAAACTTCAATAACAATTTTTTTGATAAAGTAAAGTTATAAATATGTTAAATAAAAATAACATCACATGAATTCTACGACTATTCCATGAGACAACATACAGTATATAATCTTTCTTATTTTTTATAACCATAAATATTGATATCTTCCATCTTTTTTCTTTGGTAATCTTATATTTATGTATTGATATTCTTATTTATATATGTATATTGCCATATATATATATATATATATATATATATGGCACATATACATACCGATCTTTTATAAAAAAAGTTTAATTATATAAATTATATGTAACACGTATAATGAGTTAGAAAAGATGCTATTATTACATCTTATAAATGTGCAAGCTGCAGTTAAATATGTTAACATAATGTTTGTTTAATCGTTCAGTGTACCGCTTCTATGTTTAAAAGATTAGAAAAGTACATTTAACATATAGATATCCATATAGACAATTATACAAGTTATATTAGCTGTAAAATGCCCTGTATGCAAATACATGATATAATTTAATATGTATGACATATTTCAAAGACGTGTTCACAACATTAAAGAACAATAAATCTTGAAGTATATCCAACATATTAACTTACACAAAGTTAATACTGGTATCATGCCATAACTATCATATAGATACAGTGCAAATATCATACTCATCAATACAATATTTGCAAGTGTATATAAATTTATATTTTTACATGTTATGATTAGTCATATATATAGCTTTCAATTTTAGTTTGTTAATATTATGATACTGATACTACTTTTATCACATTCATTTCACGAAAAGGGAATTTCTTATATCACACTCATATATGTATACTAAAGACATATCACGATCTGCATAGCTCGATTTTACTCTTTTTCACATAAAATGTACTCTTCATGAATCTATGAAAATGTTCAAAATTATTTAACAAATGCACCATAGATCAGACTATATGTTATTTGAAGCCTTTGAATACTGGGCTAAGCTAATACTGGCCCCAGAGAGATATAGTAATCAATAGGTATTTTTTTTTTTGTACCAAAAATTGGGATATGCATGCAGACTTTATTAGGACGTGCGAATTGTTTCCTCACAATAAATCTGAGTATGAAAAAATATATCATAAATAAAAAGTTTTGGGAAGGAACGTAGACTACATGTAGAAAATATCAGTTCTTTGGTTTATGAGGAGACAAAAGCATGCTTATCCCACAAACGAGTAGATTCCAATACATGGAGTCTGAGACCGTGGATAGATTCCAGTAACAAATTAGATAACAAAGTGCGTATTATAATTCTGCTGTATACTGTATAAAAATCACTTTGTCAGATTAAATTACTAATTGCCAAAGTATTATTAGATAAACTACGTGTTGCACTATGTGCAAAATAATTATTTATACTGATGTTATTTTATACTTCCAAACTAGTCATCACATAAAATAATAAGCCTCATTAGATATATATACATATATATATCTTATTAAAGTAAAAAAACTAAAATAAAAAATTGAAAAGACCGCGGAGCTAAAACATCAATCTTATTCCATGAATGGATGCCTGCATGATTAATGGTGATGTAGTAAACTACAATGTGCAGTACATTGTATGTTCAATTTTGCTAACAAATTGATTTGTACAAGTCGCAATTACGGCAAATCTTTTTTAAGTTGGCATTTATGCACAGAACGTAAACAAGTAGTTCTGCTTTCCTTATAAAAAATATACTACTTTGTTTTCCTGTACAGCTTATATATCTTCTGGCTTATTATGGCAGATATCTCTTTTCAGATGTGAATAATTCCGCAAATTTTTTCAATTAGTTCATGATATCTGATGTGCACTCTTTAAAATTGTGTTCCATACTTCACTCCATTTTATGATTCTTTAAAAATAATTTCAATCTTGTTGGATAATCCGTCATTACACCGGTCGCTCCCAACTCGAATGCTTTTTTAAACTCTTCATCTTTGTTTAAAACCCAAAAGTAAACCTTGCGCAAACAATAATGACAGTCAATAATGTTAGATTATAATTAAATATATAATTATGTTAATTATAATGTAAAATATACTTACATGTATGCCCCGTGCTCTTAAATGATTAAATAAGCATGGTCTCATTAATAACACATTAATTGTACGCACTACCAATTTTTCCAGTGGTAAAAATGTTGAGCTTGGGCCACCTTTGCGTCTAAAAAAAGAGAAAGAAAATTTTACGTTTATATTTTTCCATTGTAACCATAAAGAAATTAAAATATTTTAATTACCGTAAATAGATTGAAGGTAAGAAAATTTCAAGATGCGTTTCCTTTAATGGTATAAACGGCAATAAACCAGTATACATAAGAAATATTAACATTGTCACACGTTGCATTGAAAATAACAAGTTAACGTTTGGATTCTGTAACAAGACAAAGATTATTAGTTTTATTTATTACATACAGCTTTGTTTTTCTCAAAAATAAATGTTATTAGCTGTACAAAAAATATTTAGCTTCTTATGCATACCATTTTATAACATTTCTGTGTGACCTCATCGCTAAAATTTCCCCAAACTGTGTATTCTTCTCTATTGTATTGTTTAATAAGATCAGAAACTTTTGATATAAGTCGATCATCATTGATTTTAATATCAATATTAATAGGAATATCGGGAAATGTTTCAAAGACCTCTTGTAATAGCGCAAATTGCCGATCTTCTTCTCTTGGAGAACCGACATACTCCACATCTGCTATATTCAACTGTAGTTTTCAAATAATTCTGTTTAAAAGTATCATTTTGCTTAAAATAACAAATAACAATACCTGGATCAAAGTCAATTGGCAAACGTTGCTTTAAGAGTGGCAAATCTTTGTAATTCAATTCGGAAATATTTTTATCCACACCAGTGCTACGCAAGAGATTCTGATCGTGAGACACCACTACTTCTCCATCCTTGGTAAGATGACAATCCAATTCCAACATTTGAGTTCCAATAGCCACCGCTCTACAATTGTAAATAGAAACCTTAATTTCACTTATGAATATAATTATTACATTAACACAATTTAAATATATAAGCAAATATTAATTCTTTGCTTTTAAAAAATTCAAAGTGTGACTTCTGCATAATTTTGATAAAGTTACTCCAATTGACATCAACATTTCATATATAAAACACTACAATTTTTGTATTCAACTTAGCTTTTGAAGTATTTGGAAGATCTAATACTTTTTCTAAACTCTGTATATTATATAATTAATGTATTGTAACGTATGTGAAATTTCCAATAAAATCATCAGAAATGTATGTGTGCATATTTGACAATGATTTGAGAAGATAAAAGCTGTAGTGGTGTAAGTCAGGTTTTTTTTTTAAATTGACTGAGAGCATAGATGTAATCTATACATTGTATAGATTAATCTATGCACTCAGTGAATTAAAAAAACTTGGTTTTCATCCCCATTTGATTAATTGACACTAATACTAATAAAATTTTGCAGCTCTGACACGAACAAGCCTTAAATAAATATTTCAACTAACCGTTTAAATGCGCACATTGTGTTTTCATAGCTCTCGCCTGCTCCTAAAAACAGTTTATACATAGAAAAATCAATGACATTGCATAGAGGAGGAACTGTCATATCTTATCGCATCGATCGTGCGCGAGAAGATCCCGAGAAAAATCTGATGGTAAACAAAGGGCGACTTACCACCCCGATGGCTGATGTGCTGGCACAGAAATTTCACTTTCTTCTTTTTATGCAACAAAGTAGGATATTTGAACAGTATCACCGAAGTGAGCATGTAGCCGCCGATTAGCGTGTACAGCAACATCCTCGCTCCTTCAACCGCTATCGAGCATAACGATATGTACTCGGCGCGCTGCTAGACAGTAATACACAAATATAAATGAAGAGAGCAGACGACACAAGTGAGAAATCCCCGTCCCTGACCGTCCCCAAATAACGCGTTCACGAGAGCTGCGCTCTGACACGATCACGAGTATGCAGTTTCTATGCAAACGTGCGACTTTTTTCTCCACGAGCGTTGCAATCGGCCAATTGAAAAAGATTGCGATAACTCGGCCGAAAAAATGTTGATAACGATAAGAGGCGAGTATCTTTCGAGTGAGAAACAGTTGAAATCGCTTATTAATGACTTTTCAGCCAATAATTTGAAAATGATACGAATCCCGCTGTCGTGTCAAAAATTGAAATTTATTGCTTAAATAATTTTTGTTTGATTAAAACTAATTTTTTAACAAATTTTATATGTGCACTCGATTTATTCCTCCACTTGAACGATTCCGTCACTTAATTGCAAATATTTCTGAACGTTAGACGATCTTATATGAAAATCAGGCATAATATTATCCTGGCGGATGTGCTATAGAGTCCGGTCTATACATTTCTACATATGTAGTTGGACGCGTTCGGAACCGCTCTTTTATATATCTGCCAAACTCGAATTCGAAAGTTTCTCCGCAAACATGCATTTTTGCCAGCGTCCCTCGTTCGATTAACGCGATGTCCGGATCGAATTCGCCTAAAACAGATACGAGTACCAACCCTTTGCGGCAATTTCGCATTCAAAAAAGACGAACGAAGACAATGAACATGTGTAAGAACTCACGCATTTCTCGCTATTGTTAATCGATGTAACCGATTCGCGTTGTCTTTGTTTTTTTTTTTAATATTCTTATGAATAATATTCATATTAAATGCTCATTCTAATTTGACAATTTAATATCTAAGGATTAATTTGGAGTAAAGTAATTTTATTTGTATTTGGTATAAATGGATTCATTGCATACAAATTCACATTTACAACATTGTAGAATATATTTCTGAAATCTTTTTTTTATTTCATAAATATTAATATTATTTGTTATCAGAAGCGAAAATTTTATACGTTATTTTATGTTATTTTTTTTATTTTAGCTGATGACGATAGCAATTTGGTAAGTTCGGATACACAAGCACGCCGTAAATTTGTAAACCGCATTGAAGATAGTGACAGTGATATTGGTAGTCCAATTAAATCAAGTTCAGATTGTAATATCAAAGATAAAGAGCATATGTTTAAATACCTGAGAACTTTATATCCACAAAATGATGTAATGGTGAGTACATTCAGATTTTTTTAGTACAGTTTTTTTCATCTTGATAAATTATTTAAATAATTATACAGCTTTACACAAATCTTTATCTTTTCCATTAGATAAGACATTTGTATTATTAAATTATCATTATTTTTAATTATAAAACAAAGCTAAGGGTGCAATTTTTATCTAAATTATTTTAAACATGTGAGATCTTTTTAGCAGATACATAAAACACTTTGTGATGCCAATTGGGATGTCGAAGAAGCCAAGGAGGCACTTAAGAATAATAAGAAGAGAAGTTCGGTATCTAGAAAAACTAACAAGAAGAAAAGAAGAAAATTAAATGAAGATGAAGATGTGGATGTTGATTCGGATGAAGGACATTATAAAGACAAAGTATTTAATAGGTATATAATTTTGCAATAATTTTGACTTGTATGATTAGATGTATAATTTTAAGATAAATTTATAAATGATATTATTTTACAGCGACGAAGACTCAGATGTAGAAATATCTAATGAATTCACTGATGATAAAAAGGCTATTTTAGAATTTATGCAAACTGCTCTGCCTTCAGAATTGCTTCTTATGTCTCAATGTTCTCAAAAGAAAGCCAATGCTATTATAGAATCAAGACCATTTGACGATTGGAGAGACTTAGTGAATAAATTCAAAAACACAAAGTACTTAGACACAGACTTGTTAAATGCAGCTGACGTATGTATTTTATTATTCATTTTTTATTCAATTACCAAAAGATCAAGACTTTTATTATATATTAAAAAATTTTTCCACAAAATTGTGCGATTAATTTTATTTTTTACATGCACGAAGGTATTGCTGTCGACGCGGAATGTAATAGAAAATCTTATGAAAAAATGCCTGCATTTGTCCGCCAATATGGAAAAAGCTGTAGCTGCCGGTGCGTCAGCCATAACGCAGCAGCCGAAAGCATTATCGCCAGATTTAACATTAGCTCCTTACCAAATGGTTGGTCTGAATTGGCTTGCTGTTATGCACGCGCATAACGTGAACGGCATATTAGCCGACGAGATGGGTTTGGGAAAAACTGTACAAGTCATAGCATTTCTCACATATCTGAGAGAATCCGGCCTGCTTGACGAAAAGGATGGCCCCCATTTAATTGTCGTTCCCAGTTCGACTATGGGTAATATATCGCCTTCCGCGATATTTAGTCGGCAAATAGGCTCTTGTGGTATCTTTAACATTATTTTTTTCTTTTTCGTATAGAAAATTGGTGGAACGAGTTGGAAAAATGGTCACCCGGTTTGAAGGTTGTACAATATTACGGCTCTCAAGATGAACGGAAAGAAATGCGAATGGGCTGGCGGAATGGCGAGCTTGATGACGTCGATGTTTTATTGACTACGTACAATTTAATCTGCAGCACACCGGAGGAGCGTAGATTGTTTCGCGTTATGCCGATTAATTATGTGATTTTCGACGAAGCTCATATGCTGAAGAATATGAGCACCGTTAGATATGAAAATCTTGTGAGAATTAACGTACGTATTTAGCATACATACACATACGTGCGAAAAGGCTTTCTTGTAACGTGTCAATTCTTTTTAAAGGCTAAACATCGAATCTTGCTGACTGGTACACCTCTACAAAATAACTTACTGGAATTAATGTCTTTGCTAATATTCGTAATGCCTTCACTATTTGCTGGCAAACAGACTTCTTTGAAAAATTTATTTTCCAAAACTCCTGTAAGTCATGAAATTATTACTGTTATTACAAACCGCATCGGTTGTTTCGCATAAGTCATTGTTCATATTCCAAAATAAATTGTCAGAAAACAGGCGATAAAAAGGACGGGGAGCAACCGTTATTCGAAAGAGAACAGGTCAAGAAGGCAAAGAAAATTATGCAGCCATTCGTTCTTCGACGGCTTAAAACTGAAGTTCTACGCGATTTGCCGCATAAGAAGGAAGAGATAATGCGATGTGCGTTAATCGAAAAGCAGCAAAGCATGTACAACAAATTAATCGCACAGTTTTCAAAAAGAATTGCACAAGAGAAGGACAGTGAGATTGCAGATGCGAATGAAAGTGGAACCGGCATGATGATGCAATTGAGAAAGCTTGCCAATCATCCTCTTCTTGTACGTGATTATTACGACGAGGAGAAACTTAAGGTATGTGTGCAATCTAAAAAGCTACTTTTTAATCAATTCCTGAGATTAATCGGATTTATCAATGCATTAATTAGGCTATAGCGAGTAGATTGGCGAAGGAGCGAGGTTACAAACAGGAGAATCCGGAATACATCTTTGAGGATCTAATTTGGACGTCAGACTATCAGTTAAATCAATTAACACGCATGTACAAAAGTGTGGCCGGATTTGGCTTACCGCAGGAACTCATTCCTCAAGCTGGCAAATTGAGGAAACTGGACGAATTGTTGCCGCAATTGAAAGCGGATGGTCACAGAGTGCTCATTTTTAGCCAATTTACTATGGTGCTGGATATACTCGAAGAGTATTTAGCTATTAGGGGACATACATTTCTAAGGTTTGCGCTAATTACTTACAAGATTATTTTGGTTATGCCATCTCAGTTCAACTATAATATGTTTATGTTTTAGACTCGATGGCAGTACACCCGTGACTGAAAGACAAACTCTGATAAACGAATACACGCAAGAGCCAAATATATTCGTATTCTTGTTATCCACAAGAGCCGGTGGTTTGGGAATCAATTTGACAGCTGCCGACACAGTTATAATTCACGATATAGATTTCAATCCTTATAATGATAAGCAAGCGGAAGATCGATGTCATCGAGTGGGGCAAAATAAGTGCGTATCGCCGCGAAAGATCTTAAGGGGATCTTGGAGTCGTCTGTTTTACCGATTTCTTTTAAAAACACTATACTTTTTTGGCTGTGTAGAATGAAAAATCCTTTTCTGTAATTAAAGGTTTTTTCATTCCAGGTATCGACCTGTTTTACCTTCAATTTTTAGCGTAAAATTCTTTTCCTTCTATTTTTAGCGTAAAATTCTTTTTTTTGGCTGCGTGGAATGAAAAATTCTTTCAAATCAACCGTTTGTATTAACATGTGTACTTTAATTACAGAAAAGAATTTTTCATTCTATACAGCCAAAAAGTGTTTTTAAAAGAAATCGGTAAAACAGACGACTTCAGGATCCCCTTAAACATTTCAGAAAGTGTGCGCCTCATATTATTCGTTTAAAAAAAAGTGTATTGAAAGAATACTGAATTTTTTTTACAGACCAGTTACTATAATTAGATTATTAAGCGAAGGCACGATAGAGGAAAACATGTACGAGATAGCTCAAGAGAAATTGCATCTCGAACAACAAATCACTGAAACTGAAGGTAAAAATGCAAAATCTTTTAATTCATAATTTATAAAGAAATTAACAAGATGCATTCTGTGTTCTCAGAAAATGAAAGTGCGGACAAGAAATCTGTTCTAAAATTATTAAAAATGACTATAGGCCAGGATGTTCACAATAAATCTTTACCGTCGACGAAAAATAAGGAATCTGATATAGAAAGTGATAAAAATTGTAAATAAGAAATTAATTTATTTATAATAATCATAATTTTTTTATATATTCCATTTTATAAAATATCAAGTATTTAATTATAACTCAACGACTCAATGTGGAAATATATAACACACACACACACACATACACAATTTGTATGTTTCCTATGTATGAAGTACAATCATGATACACTTAATCTCTCTTGCGATTTTGCAAGTCTATCGCTCCTTTATTTATCTACATGTATATTTTGTTTCATTGTTGTACAGTACATTTTATGTACTCTTATTTATATAGCAAATTTTTAGCAAAGAAAAACTGCCACGTGCATAAAAAATCCAATCTTCAGCACAATGAGCAAATAATTTAATATTAAAAAAAAAAGATTTCGTATAAAATCGCGCGGAGGTGTCGTGTAATAATCTTATCTTTAAGTTCAATCATTCATTGATATAGCATTCAAATGTATAAGGGTTGTAGAATACACGTAAATAAAATAAATATACAGCAGTTTTATGAAAAAATAGAAATGATTTACACAACCACGTTCATTTAAATATCAGCCAGAAGTCTATATTATCAATCATATTGATAAATCTATCGTTTTTAGTTGTACAAAAGGCATGTGAAAACGTTTTATTACATCTTACAATCTTCAGGATATACTTTGACTCATTAAAAGATCGGACATTCCATCTTTAATAATTTTTAAACTTTCTAGATCAGCATTTATTGTCGCAATAAGCTGCGCCATGCCCTGCTGCTCCATACTTAGGTACTAAAAAGGAAAAAAAGGTTTATGTATTTCCGCTTAAATTAAAATTAAAAAAAAAAAAAAAAAAAAAAAAAAAAAAAAAAAATCTTACCGTTTTAATATCATCCTGCGCTATAGGATCCATTGTATACCTCTCCTGGTTTTGAATATCGATGTGTCGCCTCATTCTGAGCTGAGAAAGCATTTCACTAATTCTGCCTTTGTATTGTGTCGGCGCACTGATTTGCGAATGCATCACTTCGAATCTCCGCGTTAAAGCTTCTTCTTCCGGTTGCAAGGACAATCCTACTTTACGCGTAATCTCCTGCCGAACTAGAACCTTTCATATAAAATTTATGTTATTACAAACGGAAACGACACATGCGATGATAATTAGTGAATAGTAATTAATCGCAGCAATACCTGCAAAACTCTGTGTTGAAGTTCCAGTAATGTGCGTCTGTGTTCCTTGAGTCTGGCCTGCGTGGCTGTGTGCTGCCTCTGCAAGCCCTGTATTTTTTCTGCTGCCATGTCTAAAAACGCTCGATGTCTAGCAGTCTCCTCTTCTTGACACTTTAATCTGTGCTTGACTTGCTGGAAGCCGATCATAGGAACTGGTATGTACAATTCTGGATTGGGATTATCCAGCTGCGCTTGCTTCCACAATCTGGCGTCGATCGCGCAAGGTGGATTATCCAGATACTCCTTCAGCTGCGACGGATCAAGTTTTACCAAAGGAAATATATCTTCAACTCCATTTTGCACCAATTGTTGCTTTTGCATAACCTGCGATAGGTACGCAACCAACTCGTTGGCAGGAATTTTTCTGTAAGAACCAGTGATTCCTTTTTCCGATACATATACCGTCACTTGACTTTTAGTCTCTCCTGTTGATTTCACGTTATCGACAGCTACAGTTAGATTGGGCTTGTTGCCCAACAAGCCATTCAGAAATACGACTAATTGTTGCTTTCCGTCTTGTACGTCCTTTTCTTTCTTACCGAAGCACAGCACCACTAGACCATCGTTATTATCAGCATCGGGTATACGGCTGTACCCGATAGCCTTAAATCTACACAACGAGTTTTCTTGAGTGAAATCTATAGGCGGGGCGTTTACAGAGTAATAAGCTTTTCCTACACCCCATAATGCTTGAATAAGATTCCACCTGGCAATAGTGTTATCTCGCTCGTCATTGTATAATTGACAATTGAACACAGCGTTATAGAGAGCTTCTGATACACTATTTGCAGATTGTTGTTGTTGTTGTTGTTGTTGTTGCTGTTGTTGTTGTTGCTGCTGCTGAGGCTGTGTCAGTCCAGTGCCAAACCCAGTGAATCCTGTTCCTGAAAATACGTAATATGTTAAAAATAAAAGAGTATAAGGAAATATATGAAAAATAGTATAAAATGTCATGTATTAAAGAGAGAAGATAGGTTATGTGCAGGCAAATTAGAGACGTGAGAGTACATAAGGGAGAAAAGTCGGAATGTAATTTAAGATGATACAAAATATAAAGAATATAGATGATTTTATAATCCCTAGGGAAACCAATAAACATACAAATCATGCATTACCTGTCCCAAATCCACCAAATCCGGTAGTGACACTGGTGGTAGCTGGTTTGTTTCCAAAAGCACCGAAACCTGTAGATGTGCCGAAGCCTGTTGAAGCAGTACTCGTAGTACCGAATCCACCAAACAGGCTAGGGGCGGATGTAGTAGTGGTTGTGCCAAATCCACCAAAACCTCCAAAACTTAACGACGATGTTGTCGTCGCTGTTCCAAATCCACCAAAACCAGTTGTGGGAGCAGGAGTACTGCCAAAAGTTGAAGTTGTACCAAATCCAGTGGTTGCAGAAGAAGCGGGAGTACTGCCGAAAGCTGGCGTTGAACCGAAGGCACTAGTCGATGCAGTACCAAATGTAGGTGTAGATCCGAAGCCCGTCGCTGCTGGCGTGCTACCGAATCCAGCAGATGTTGGAGTCCCAAATCCAGTCCCAGCGCCAAATCCAGCGGTTTGAGTCGACGGAGTACCAAACAAACTTGGCGTTGAAGTGGTCGGTGTACTAAATCCAAAGGACGGAGTTCCAAATCCTGCTACTTTGGATTAAAATTTGTTTTTGAAAGATTAATGCTTTCGATAAAAACTGCAAGAAAGAAATATTAAAACTTGCTTGACATTTACTCATCAATTAAAGATATAAATTATAAGTTTTCAATAAAATTATTCATACTTTTGACACTTAGCAATATTATCACACAAAAATTATTGATGTACAAATAAAAATTAAAACTAATAATGAATCACTATGCTAAATTAGTACAGTGATTAATATTACTAATGAGCATTGCTCTGAATTTTGCCATTAATCTATATCAATCAATATCTGATTTTTTTTGTTTAATATGAATTTAAGATATGTTAAAGATGTTTGCTATTGTGACATTCTTTGTTGCTTATATTTTATGAATATTTTTAAATATAATACTTATATCTAAGTGTTCATATACGTTCATCATATACATTGAAAGGTATATAGACACTTAACTGTCTAGAAATCATATTATGACTTGGAATACTTATTGAAGTTTCAATATTCAGAAATTCAACAGTTAGTCATACAATAATATAACATTACAGTGCAATATGACATTTTTAAATCAACAGAATAAAATGCAGGTAATATTTAAAAGTAAAAAAGAAATGAGTTACAACATAAAATATGAGACAAACTTTTTAAATCAGTGTACATTAAATTATTAATAGAGCAGCTTCTATGCACAAGTGGCACACGATACACTAAAAATAGGTTCTATGTCCAGCACTAAAATCATCCTTCGTCATATAAAGTCAATACATGATTCTTCCACTGAAATTTTAAACGAACTTGGTACAACAGATATGATAATTGGGGTACATAATTCATTTTCTCTGTCTATATATAATTGTTTCATCATGTTTTGTGTGATTTTATAATTTGATCCAATTTTCTTTACACAGGATGCAACTGCAGAAACTATGATGACCACACTTGGGAAAATTCCAAATGAAATGTATTATCCAGAAGATACTGTACCTAATGGAAAAGTCACTGCTCTCAACACTGAGTTACACACGATACTCGACACTAATCACACTACATTAGCTCCAATTGAAACTATTATGTCTAATGGATACACGAAACGTTCCACATTACTATTAATCTTGCTGATTGTACTTTTAATTATATTATTGATGTGCTGCATTACGGCGTGCATAATTGCGAGATCCAGGAGCAGGCACGCTTTCTTCACGAAAAGAGACACGGAGTGCAGTCCAGAATGTAGTGGTATAAACCAACCCTTGCTAGGTTTAGACAAGACTTCTGGTACAACCATTACAACCAGTGGTAGTTCCGTAAACAACTGAAGAGCTAGTCTTTCGCATAGTGCCTTGCGGATCATTTGTGCTTGCAACATGTTTCAAAATTTAAATTGGTGAAAAAATTCTTATTACAGTGCGTTTATATTATTCATAACCTCGAAGTTGTCATGCAAAAACCACTGAAGCATTTATATACAGAATATATGTAGATATCGTTAATATTCCCATATCTGATAAAGAAATAGAAATTACAGAAATAAAAGGGAAGATATAGCACAAAACAGACGAAAAATTACTAATTTTATCTCAAATAACATGGCTTACCGGGTTTAACTGGCGTCGCTGTAGAAGCTGGTGTGGTGCCGAAAGCAAACGTGGGTGCAGGTGTCGATGTTGATGCTCCGAAACCGCTGCCGAACGACATTTCCGTTGTATTATTTTCTTAGTTAAAACACTGTATCCGCTTCGTGACGCGCGCAATTACATCCGATCTTACGGACAATTGCGAATTTACCACTTGCAACATGGCCGTCTGCACGTGCGACAAACCATAGACATATATAACTAGATCCAGCATGCCGTATATTTCCTTATGATATTCGTTGGGTTTGGCCACGGACTAAGGAATAGAGGGACAGAGGGCGGTATTCATAGTCCGTTCTTATATTCAAAATCGTCTCTCTCTTCGTCACACATAGATTGTGTCTGACAAAGAGAGCGAATATAATAGCGTTTTCGATTATACAGGATTTGAACGATCCAGGGTTGGTTAATGACGTCATTGCAACCTCTCCACCAATGAAAGACTTGCATTTATAGTAAAATAGTGATTGATCAACCCTGGGTCGTTCAAATCCTGTATAATCGAAAACGCTATAAGTTTGTGCTTAAGGGTGAAATCAGATGATACGGAAAAGAGCTGCGAAACGGAGAGT